CTGAGACCTTACGGAAAGATGAAGAGCCCGCTATTCAGAAAACAGAGCTCACCCTCTGCAACTTGATAGTTATAAAAAATATCTGCAGCTGGACACCTCTGGGTATTCAGCCATTCTGGCAAGTAGCGCTATAGTAACGCAACTGAGCCCTAGTAATTATTTATAGCACTAATTTTTAAAAATGAATTCTGAAACGCTTCTGCCCTGTATTAGCTAATTTGTGGTTTTATAACCTGTAAAGGCACTCGTATGTAAATAACCTGTATGGGAAATTGTGTTCTTTTCTCATGTGTCCTTCTCTCTGTATAATTTCTTTCCTTCTCCGTTACTCAGAGGACAAGTAGGGATGAAAAGAGTAAGTCAGGATTATCATTCTTGCAAAATAATAGGCTGAAAAAGCAGTGTCTCTCAGTAATTTCCATATAGAGACAGAACTTTGTAGTCTAAGAAATTGGATGGGAACCATAATAACTTTCAATTACATGAGCCTTGGTATTTTTAGCTGGAATGAGAGGACAAATGATGAATTCAAGAGAGCTGTAGAGCCCGAAGCGCGACCATTCGTGCTGCAACTCACACCTGTTAGAACTGCGGGAGAACAATATTCTGCTAATAAGAACGACAGAAGTTTCTAGGGCTAGAACAGATTTCACGTCATCCTGAGAGGTGTAACGATGGATTTAAACTCCCTGCAAAGGCAGTCATGTGTACAGCTAGGCCAGGGACTATGTGGGACAGCAGGTGACACAAAGCTGGGGAGTTGCTGCCAAGAACTGCTGGTGCTAGTAGGGGATGGAGGGCAGATGGCTCAGGGCACTAATCAGCCGATTTTAGAGCTCCGAGCCAGACACAAAAATTTCTGACATGGTGGAGCCCCAAAACACCACAGGCATTACTGTTTATGCTGTACCAGTATTTGGAGACCAGAACTGCTTCAAGGTGGGCACAGTCCAAAAAAAAAAAAAAAAAAAGTGTGGTGGGAGGGGGTAGTTGTCGCTCCACCAAACATCTCCGGTCCTGAGAGTTTGTCCAGATGAAAGAAAAACACTTTCTACTCGAGTTTAGATCTGAATGTTTTAAGTACCAATGGGGCTAAGGAATAAGTATCAGCACAGTACACTTCTCTTCCCTTTGCTTTAGTCACCAGTTTTTTTAATCCAGGTATGAGAGAATAACCTGGAAGCTTCTGCAGATTTAGTGGAGGTTTCTAAGTTTGCTCCCAAAGCTGAGGTGCCTTCTGAGTCAAGATCATCACCCCCCCCATCTCATAAAGAGGGTTTTGAAAATCCAGTTTATTGTATGTACTACCCTAAAAAAGCTTCTGTCAGCTTGTTTTGAAAACATTAGGTATGCATCATAACCATAGGCTAGTTTTCCACAGGAAGAAATTAAAACATCTCATATGAGCCCAGAACTTCAGTAAAAGTGACTATTTAGCAGGACATGTTATTGGCAACTGATGCAGATATGACAGAGCGTTGTCCACACCTGAATGATTGTTTTTCACGGCTCTTAGTCCCACAAGCATATAAGTTTGGACTGCCAAAATGAACTAAAAAGGATGTGTTTACAATGACTTTTGAAATATTCATAAACAATGGTTCAACTGTTGTGCTTCCTCGTACTCTAGCTGTGCCAGCTCTAAATACGAAAACCTGAAGTGTCAGGACACAGGTACTGTCTGTACTTTCTTGTCTACAGAGAGACATCCAGTCTCGCAGCTAATTTCACAGAAAACACTTCAGAATTTTTTTTTATTCTTGTCCCTCTGGCCTCGTACCTTATCTTTGCCAGGTGTTTAAGGAAGAGTATGAGATTCTTTCCATAGTTTGCCCTTAAGAGAATTTGTTAATCATCACCCCCCCGCTGCACTGCAAGAGGTAATGCGAAAACGGCCGTACTGAGCCAGACCAGAAAGTGCAGCTCTTGACACGCACCAGTAATGGTCACACAGACACAAGTACACCGATCAACAAGCATATAGCTCATCACCTGTCAGTCTTAAACACACAGCAGTATCACATCTGTTCCCTTTATATATCCAAATAATCCACAACCGTTTTTCATCTTCAGTTTTAGCATCCAGGGTGGCTTCTAGCAAGGAACTCTACAGTTTGGCGATGCAGCCTGTAAAGCACTTTCTTACTTTTCCTATGTCCTGTTCCTTGTATAGAAAAGGGCGGTGAGCAACCTCCAAATTCATCATTGTGGTGTTTATGAACAGCACAGCGTGTGTATCAGGCACTGGTGGGCTACTGTCAAGAAGTAAGGATATGCTGGCATTTTGTATTTTTATAAGAATAAATCAATTGGTCAAAAATCAGTTTTCAAACCCTACGCCTTGAAACTGCAAATAAACTTCCCATCACAGAAGGTCTGATACAGGCATAAGAAAGAAGGGAATTAAAAAAAGACACACGCAGAAGTTAAGTATCAGGAAGGTGCAGGATCTCCAACTCACCAGGAACTAAGGTGAGAAGATTATTCCCCCCCCAAAACATCTGCTTGAACATTATTTTTAGCTGTGAACATGATCTCTCTGTCATGACTGTAACAGCTTCCAAGTTGGAAGGGGGAACTGTACGTCTGTTCTTTACTCCAAAAGCATGAGGTAATGTGAACATTTCCATGAAAATGAGCTGATGGTCTGCATGAAGCCACAGAGGCAGAAACGAGATTATTGAAGAATTTCAGGTAGATCTCTACCTATTCTTTGGATCAGGCTCTTGCCTGCTGAGGTAGAACTATTACAATATAGATTATTCTCTTTAATAAATAGGCACCACAGCATTTTTTTTTTCTCAAAAAGGTTAAAACAAGCTTTATTTTAACATACAAATCAGATTTGGGTACAAGGCAAAAGACACCCCTATAGTGGTAGGCTTATTGGGTCCCCACACAGCACGTGTAGCCACTTGTGCTACGGTAATCCTGAGATACAGAAGAAAGCCCTAAAAATCTTTTTAAAAAGGGCCAAACCATCTCCTTTTAATCACTCTTGCTATAATCACCTCCATTTGGGAATTAAGAAAAACATTATACAGTTCTGAGTCAAGAAACCCAAGTATCTACAAGCCAAATACCCAAGATACTTGTCTAATTCCCTGCTGTCATCTGGGTATACTACCAAGAGCACTTGGGGAACAAATCATGAGATTCAAATATGCAAGGTTACTTCATTAACGCTGCAAAGCGCGTAGAAGAACTGCAAGATATTTTTGCTACCTCACCTACTACTGTCTTCACAAACTGCCTGGTCAATGTGTCAAGCTTACACATCCTATGAACTTATAAATAATAATAAAAAAAAATCTCTACACTGTGTGTTAAGTCACTAAGGAAACAAATTTGACTTACTTTGCTTCCTTTTACAATGAAGTTATATGTGATCTAGAAATATTTTTTAAAAGCTTATAAAAGCAGTAGAATTGCAGACATTTAAAGTCCTAATATGAAAGCCTACTTGAACACCCTCATTTTGCTACAAGATTGTATTTGCCATTAACTGACGTGAAAAAAAAGGAACAGTCTCTTTTTAAAAAAAGTTAGACAGGGAAAAGATATAGATAGGGTTTTTTTGTTTTAGTTTTACAACATATAAAAATAAGTTACACTATATATTATGGCTTTCTCATTTAGCAGAAGAGTGCCATCATGGATTTAAACACTAGATGTTGTAACTAATTAACTCACCATGTTCTCAGACTTTCCTTGTTTGAGTTTTAATGATTGTGTGAAAAGAAACGACAAAATATTAGTGGAAAAAATAGGAAGCCTCCAGAACAATTTCAGTAGCAAGAAGCACTTGTAGAAGAAGTCTTTCAGAGGAATTTTTAATTTAATTTGAAATGTTAAATTAATATAAATTGAAGTTTTAACTTAATTTAATCTCTTGGCACAAATAAAGGCCAAGCCAAACCTCCCATGAACTTCAGCAGAGCCAGGGCTTCATACTGAGCTTCATTTCAGAAACGTTTAGACGCAAGTACGATCCCATTACACTACTGAAGTAATGATTTATTTTTAATGTGTGTTATGTTAATCATACAACTAAGATACTAGTTAGATTTGGTATGGAGCTATCTCAAAAAGGCCACAATAATGCTAAACGAACAAGATTCAAAACTGCAACACAGCTGCTCAATGTAAGTGTTGTCCACTATGAATAAAAAGGAAGGGGGGGCGCAAAAGATGCTTGAGTCAAAGACTGAAAGACTGCATTTACACAATGCTGTGTTATTAATGGCTGAGTATACTTACATTTTGAAGTCTAAAGTTGCATTCAAATTGGACAAGTTATGACAATATTCAAATACATGTAAGGAAAAAGAATTCTAATTTTATGGTAAAGTCGTAACAAAAATGTCATTGTGCAGTTAAAGTAGCATTTGTAACAGCAAAGTTCACAGCAGACAAACACAAATTACAGACTTATGAATATAATAAGGACTATCGTGGCACTGAATTTGGGAGTATTTTCAAGCTCTAGTTTTACTCAGGATAGCAGAGTTGCCAGCTCAATAAAGTTAACTGAATACTGTACAAAGCTCCTTATAACCAAGGCTCCACATCATGCAGAAGATGAGCTTTCTCCCCCCTTTTTCTCCAAGAAAAGCATCTGAAAGGCGAGCTACAGCGATTGTTTCTGATAGCAGTAAAATAAAGAAGCAGATAGAAAAGTAGGTATATCAAAAAATTCGTACAGAAAAGGCATCTGTCCTGGTTTGATTCTGTTTATAAAAAGGCACTTCACATACTGATAAAACTCTGATCATGTGCTAGTCCTTTTAGTTTTTCTGTTAGAAGGATGTACTTCAAGGTGGTTAGCATGAGTAAGCAAACGTTCTTTATACCATGTTTATCTGTTACAAATTTTATAATTACATATAGTATCTTACACCATTTATTTAGAAGAAAAGATTCACGTTCAAAATAATAGGTCTTCATACAGTCCTTCAGTGATGATGATGATCTGTCATAAGCAACACATCACCTGTAGTGAGTTCACGCTAATAAAATTAGCGGTGTAAATCTTTCAGAAGTGAGTCCTCAGTCTTTTGTTCTCCTCTCGTAGTCTCTCAATTTCAGCTACTAAGCTTTCATTTACAGAATACCTTTCAAGTAAAGCATGCATTTCATTCTAGAGAAAAGAAAAAAGCTCCAATCAGCAGCTATAAAGTTAATTATTCCAGTTTTAGACTATCAATTTTCGTATCCCTTTTGAAAATTAAATAACCTAGATAATACTGTTTTTAGAAACTTTTGATAAGAAAAGTAAGAAGGGTTTTTTTATGCTGACATACAGTATTTTGATCATTAATACATTAGTGAATATTTTATCAAAGGATATTTTGCACTTCTTCAGGATGAGAATCTACTAATGCAGGTTCCATTAAAATGTTCAGTACCAAGACAAGGTCTTTTTAATGTAGATCAAAAGAACAAAGATTCATAAAAAGATGAAGTTAAAGAACACAGAACACAGTTCAGTATGCATGCAGTACCTACAACTGAAGCTTTCTATTTGAATTCCATCTATCTCCTCTTTACCCCAGCTCTCGGTCCTTTCCAAAGGATAGTTGAATTTGTTTCCCTTTTGTCTTTTTATAACTTCTGAAATATAGAATTCAAGATACCTACCCAATTCCCATCTTCCCTTCATTTATCAAGCATAAAACAGATTCCAATTCATAGTTTCCCCCTCCTTCACATCCAATCCTTCCTTCCTTGCTCTTCCTAAGCAAAATTGATTTTGTTTTGAGAGCAGAAGTTGGCATGCCTTGGTATTACTCAAAATGAAAACCGAATATAATTCCCACCATGCTCTTTGTACGTACCAACTGCATATGGAACTGCTTGATCATCTCCACTTGCAAATTCACAATATCTCGATGACATGCTTCTCTGGGGGAAGAATTTCAAAGGGACAATGCTTAGTTTTATTTAGAAAGCAGCGATTCTCTCCAATCCTCAGCACCCAGAACTCCACATTTCCTCATTTTGGTGACACTGTGAAACATGAATCTAAGAACCTTTAAGCCATGAAACATACTCCTCTACCACTTATTTTCTGCAATACTTTTGTTATGACATTGACTTTCATAAGTACCATTTTTTCAGTGTAAAAGACTTTGGAACTTTTCTGTTTAGAAATGTAAAAATATATGTGGCGATATCACCATTTTTTTTTTTGCTCGCAAGCCGTAAACTTCCCTCATTTTTACCATTCAAAGCTGATTTTTCAATCACAAGCATCGCAGAGAAAGATATTTATCTGTAACTGAAGATACAGCTTTTCAATACATCACTTTCAGCACTCTTTTATAAGAGGGCCCAAAACATCTACAGTGATAAGTGATACACTACCCTCAAGCCCACGGAATGCTCCAGGTTAATCTACATAAGAATTAGTAGCTGTGTTGTCCATGAATTGACAAATTCGTGTCAATTCATGGACAACTATTCCACACTACAAGAACCAAGCTTGGAAATACCCTCCGAACACTACACTAGTATTCCAGACACGGAGGAAGAACAAGAACAGCTCACAAAAACCAGGCAAGCTCATACCGAACAGCTAATCACAGTGCAATCATCTGAGGCCAAATGCTGTGCTATGGGTACCAACGGCCCAAGAAAGCAAGACATCTCTTAAGCAGACACACACAGATCTTACTATATTCTCCTTTCCTACAACATATAGCAAACCCAAAGGGAATATATTCTTTGCTTTCTACTTCCACAGGTTATTGTGCTTCAGAACTCCTATTGGAAGCAAACAATCTTCGAGTATATCTAGTATAGATGCCAGCTGGCAGCTTCGAAACCCAAAGATGTACGTTATCTCCCAAAGACAGGAAGTTCAAGAAACAAGCAGCTTTTTAAAACCAAATGAGTTATATATTCCTCCTGGTCCTTTTCTAAGGTCCTTGTTTTTTCTCCCGTTACTGGAAGAGGAATGGATTTCAGGCAAGAGTGATAAAAATCCTTTCTTCAGATTCCAGAGGGTGAAAGCAGTATCAGTAAGAAGCTTGCAATGGCTCCCTTCCCTCTTACTGACCTCAGTACGGACAATCTTTTACATTCAGTTTGAATGTAGCCACAATTTACAACTGGGAAAAGGGCAAGAAGAGCCTTCCAGCCACTCCAAGAAGTATAGGCCAGAAGAGAAATACAATCTCTGAGACTCCAGACCTCAGATACTGGAAGTACAAGACTGACAAACATACCTTCCAGTACTGGGATCCCTGAACACAGACTTGGAAAGAAAAAAACATCTGCAATCCATAGACTGCATTTTAAGTCATGTGAAAGTTACAGCTTTTAAATAGATGTGTGATTATCACCAAAAAATCCCAGGGGAGTTTTACTGTAATAGATTCTTATTTAAAGACATTTAATAACATTCAATGTATTTTTCTGTTGGTAGACACAGAACAGCCACAGCACGCGGACCTACTTAGCTAGTTTTGCATTGCTTTTTGTCATCAAGACAGTAATACTTCCCCTGTCCAGCAATCCTTTGCCCCTCCACCATCTCAGTCAACCTACTTCACCTTAAACATGGGTTGGGAAGTGAACCCCTAGATACAACTCTCCTCTCAACTGCTTCATCTCCTTCAAACTCCACTCAAAATCCATGCTAATGTGACTTACTTCTTTCATAAGAAGAATGTTAGTTAGGCAGCCACAAAGTAATCTGACACCAACCATCACTTACGGAACAGATATTATTTTAATGTCAAGTTTCACCAGTAGAAATACACAAAGTATTTTACCTTATACATACCAAGCTAACAACAATCAAAACAAATACAAGTCAACTGTCTAGATCAAACTCTCCACAATGTCAACTTAAAGAGAAATTTCTCCTGCTGGGACAAGAGATGAGCAGGGAAGGAAAGAAATCAGCACAAGGCTTCATGAAAGCAGCAGGGACCTTGTTAAGCAGATAAGTTTACCATCTGAGTATTCAAGCACTCTTTCTGAAAAAATGTTAGCAAAGCCATGCGTTAAAAACCCTCAGAGACATCAGTCTAATTAGTCATCGGAGCTATCCCAAATAAATAAGGTTTCATACATAGATTCCAAGATTAGGGCTATTAATGGTGTTATTTCTAATGCATGTAGAAAATATGTTAAAGCAGATACTAAAACATCTTACTAACAAAAAATGTTCTGCATGAATACCAGTACCTGAAATCATCCATTGTTTCTTGTATCATATTCTGAATGAAGTTTATTTGGATTGATGTCAGAGGTGCATTTGGTCTGCCACTCCCAATGGTTTCTACTATTTTTTCTGACAATGAACTGGCAACTCCAGCAGTGACAGGTGATGTTATCTTTGGACCTTTACAATTAGGAGGGGGAAAAAAAAAAAAAGTCAGCACAATGGAGTACAAAAGGTTGGTTTTTTTTTATTTGTCTTGAGACTTGTCAATATTTTATCTCAAATATTACCTATTAAAAAAAAAAAAATCTTTAGAATGAGTCTTTTCAGAGGCAACTAGAGATGTACTAGGAGGGGTAACTGGATTTACAGAATCAAGATTGGATGTTCTGTTTTAATACTAAGGCTATTTTATCAGGTTTCACATCAGTTTGCAATCAACCATGCCTAAAACTGGGCCAAAATGATCAACTTACTTATTGAGGTAGTACCATTTACTGGTAGATCATACACAGGATGCGCCTGAATATTCTTCACTAGTTTCTCAGTTGTATCAGGAGTCTTTACAGTAGTGGAAGATGGCGGAGGATTTAAAGTTATGGATTCTGCGCTTGATGAGCTCGATTTTGAAAGCTGATAATAAAAATAATAATAGTAATTTAAAAAAAAAAAAGAAGATCAACTCTACTTAATTACACTTGAAGTCTAAGTTTTCAGGAATGTACTTTCAAACATCTTTGGTTTCAGGAATCTACTCACAAATATATGCTTTTCATTTTCTGGCAAGATGTCTTAAAAATTGATTGCTAAAATATTCAAAATTGCCTCAAGTGCGCACGCACAGAAAGGAGTGCAAAAGGTAGAGGCCTCTTAATTTTCACATCAAACATTTTGTGGCAAAATTATAAACATCATTCCTAACAAACTCAGATTTCTCAAAAGCAATACAAAAGGAGACAGGGTCTCAGCAGAAGCATATCAAAGATAACTCAAGAAGGAAGAAAAGAGAGATCAAGAATA